CTCTCATCCCCTTCATTAACTACATGGTTTCCTCACTCCTATCTGCTCTCATCCTCTTCATTAACTACATGGTTTCCTCACTCCTACCTGCTCTCATCCTCTTCATTAACTACATGGTTTCCTCACTCCTACCTGCTCTCATCCTCTTCATTAACTACATGTTTTCCTCACTCCTACCTGCTCTCATCCTCTTCATTAACTACATGGTTTCCTCACTCCTACCTGCTCTCACCCTCTTCATTAACTACATGGTTTCCTCACTCCTACCTGCTCTCATCCCCTTCATTAACTACATGGTTTCCTCACTCCTACCTGCTCTCATCCCCTTCATTAACTACATGGTTTCCTCACTCCTACCTGCTCTCATCCTCTTCATTAACGACGGCATTTCCTCACTCCTACCTGTCACAGGTGTTTCGTGCGATGGACCCTGGCCTGATTCACATCTACCACGCCAAGAACTGCTCCGCCGCCGCGGCAGGAGCGCGCGGGCAGCCCGACCAGCAGCACATGTGCAACGCCACCCTTGCCGACACCTACGCATCCCGCACCCAGCTCGCACTGATGCTGCTGTCCGGGAAAACTCCCCCGGGTAGTACGTGATGGTAGCAGACAAGGAAAGCTCCCCCGGGAAGTACGTGATGGTAGGAGTCGGGGAAGGCTCCCGGACGCAGCTCACACAGATCCTGTTATCCGGGAAAACTTCCCGGGAAGAACATGATGGTAAGAGATGGGGAAAACTCCCCCACGACGTACGTGATGGTAGGAGACCAGGGAAGCATCCCCGGGAAGTACGTGATGGTAGCAGATTGGGAAAGCTCCTGCACGCAGCTTACACAGATGCTGTGGGAATGCTCCCTGGGTAGTAGGTGTGTGGAGACATCTGGATCACACGAAAGGTGATGAGTGAGGGTGAGAATCAAAGTTGAAAAACAGAAGCGGGTTGGGAAGACAGTTTTATAGGGTTTTTCGTAGAAGTCAAAAATAGTAGTGGGGTGTGTGCAGTTAGAACACTATTTGGTAGGATGTGAGAGAGATATAGATTAGGGTAGTTGGTGACAGAATGTATATAGGTATATGGTATGCCACGGGTAGCAGAAAGCATTCGAGTTACTAGGGTAGAGTCTGGTGTACTATGATGAGCAAATGACGATGGTACTGCGATATGGTATGCAAGCAGGAGTAATTTGAGGTTACCTGGTCATAAAATGTCAGTAACGGCTAACAATCACTACAAATAGTGCCAACAAATCTCTCTAGTGATATACTTTGGTGTAATTATATTTTTATTTGACCAGATGGTTATTTGTGTTATTGTGATTAATTTAATAATTTATTGTTATTGAAAATATGGTGCAATATAATGTAATGCTCCTGATTTTATATACATGCTCATATACATAATTATGTTTTCAATCATGTTTTGTGATTTACATTTGATGTTAAATATGTAGAATGGTTGTTTTAAAGAATTCAGTGAAAAGTAAATTGAATATTGTTTAATGTCGTATTTTAATTATTAAACGTTTGGAAACTGTGCTCTAAAGAATAGTTTGTGTTTTTATCAGGAGAATCTATTTTTGTGTATGTATGTTATCTAAATGCTGTGTAAATATATTTTAGATGAGTAAATTTGCAGTGTTTGAGGAAAACACTTATTTTGTTATCTCTCATTGAAGGTTCAGTAATATCCGCGTGTGTTATAGATATGCATTAATACCCATATTGATATTAGATTTATATAATGTACATAGATATTCACGTCCACATCTTAGGTAAACACGAGTGTTTTTGTGTTAAATGTGTATAATGGTTATTTCACAAAAACTTTTAAAAAAAGCGTGATGATATCTATGGCAGTAAAACTGATACAGGGGCGTCCAGCGGGAACAATGTACGAAAAACTAACTACATGTAAAAATTGTTCTCATAGATGGTTATTGATCTTTATTTATTTATTCTTTATATATGAGGAAAGAAACCCGATATAAACGCGTAATTGCTCCTCCTATCAGCATTTGCTTAACGAAGTTATGCGAAGCCACGTACGCAACAATATAAACACCCGCGTGTGGTAAGGAAGGGCAATGCGTGCGTGCAGGTGTGGTGGGATAAAGGCATGTTCTCTAGATAGTTGAATGCGTTTAATCGACTGGCATCATGTTTGCTTGGGGATAAGAACAACACACGCTTCCTCATCCCGCACCCTCCTCTCTCCGTGTCATTCTCCCCGCAACCTCCTCTCCATAGAAGACCCATCCGAGTAATCTAACCACCGATCAACCATCGTTAGACGGCCACCGTTCGCAGCGCGTCCGCTGCTGCGTCACCCGCCGCGCACTCGGCTCGCCGCTGACTAACAGGGCACGGCGCCGCTCTAGAAACCTGTTTTGCACGCGCGCGGCAGGTGCGCAGGCAGGCGCGACGCAGGTAAGAATGAGTGGAGTAATGACCCCGGCTCTCGCTTCCGTGTCCGTCGACGACGTAGCATTTCACTTTTTCGTCTACCGTCGGCGCTCGGCGGTGTGTCATCGTTAGGTGTCCGTTCATCGTCGATCGTCACAGCGTGCGTGCGGTATCATCTTACACGCTCGCAGCATCCACGGAGTTAGCAGGGCTTCGCGTACAAGGAGACCAGGGCGTAGGTAAGTGACACGTGTCTTGATTGTGTCGAGTGGCGTTGGAACGAGAGCGTATAACAGCGATTGTATGTGCGGACGAAGAGAGGAATGGGAGCTAGATGTTGCGTTGTGTAAACTCTACTGGCAATATGGATGTTAACATAACGAATAAAATACCTCGTATGTGAAATAGGTAAGAAAGTTGACATACCAAGAGCGTTTTAAACGTGTTTCTGCTTTAGCAAATAGCGACACCAGCGTCGCACATTACTACTGTTAGTGTTATCACTGCTACTGCTACTACCATATGTATAATATTATATATTTAATGTACAAGTATATCTATATGTGCATGCTACTGCCGCGGGTATCGCCATGCTAGCGTGACAGTGTCTATATACTTTACAGCACGTTGTTATAATAATACATGTTACGAGCGTAGATGTGATATATATACTAGTTGATGCACATCGGGGTATAGGCTACCACAGCATCTGTGTAACCCGGATGTTTGAACATCAGTTAACATCACATATATAGCTAGTGTATAGGTAGACCATTATCCGAACAGCGACATCGGTTCTCCCATAATTCGTGCTACTATATGTAACAATGGAATCATTATTTGCTGGGGAATAATGTATGAATATATAAACGTAATGTAATTAGATACAGATGATTGTGAATGTCATTGCCGCCCACTAACACACGGAGGCCGTACTGGGGTAACATATTATTATCGTGTGTTATAATGATTAGTTTTTATTGCTTATAAAATGTCAACGTCCTGATTTGGTGGTTCCGATTTGTTTGCTTCCGATCTGATAGCTGTAGCCTATATTTGCCTCTCTGTGCTGCTAGGAGGAAAACATAAAGAGTATGACCTCTCTTTCTCGCTCTCTCCTACTCTAGTATAATTGTGGCTGTGCGCTGTAAACTGCAATGGTGGGTAGCTTTTCCATAATAGTTTAGAGAATTGCGACTGTCATTCTACGAACCCGTGCAGCACTGGCAATGCAACAGGTGCAAAGCTAAAGTAAACGGGCTAGGTCTCTATATACACCAATCTATTGGCTATCGGGTTCCGGAATACTGCTAATCCTGGAAATGCTACATTAACATGCAGGATTATATAAGAAATCAACATTCTCGCGGGTTGGCAGTATGTGGGTGTGCACCATGCACTGCCATCTGGCGGTCATAGATCAATGCATAAGTCCTTCGATCACTACAGTACCTCCCTGCTCACGCTCAGACAGCCTGCGTGGACACCTAACCCGATAGATGTATAGGTTGTGCTCCAGCATAAAGGTGTGTCAAGGTAACCTATAAAGATTTGCCCTAGGGAT